ATAATCAGATGCATCTACATGCAAAGCAAGTGGGGAAGTTGGAGAAGGATGGGCATGTAACGTGGCATTAGCTCGTGCTTATCTGCATTTGTTAAAAAAGCCTCAGTGCAACGGAGCCAAATAATTGGGTCGTCGAATTTTTCTGCCAAAGATCCTTTTAAACGTCGTTGTTTATGGAAGAGCCCTTGGACTGTGTAATAAAGCTCAGGAAGTTGGGGATCATCACTAAGCCAAACACAGATATACTCGTAGAGACCCCATGGTTGTCACTGTTGCTTTAGGAATGTCAGTTTCTGCAAATAGGATTTGGTAAAATTTTAAAAATATCTACTTTTTAGAAAATGTATTTACCGTAGAGTGAATGAGCCAAGTTTAAGATACGGAATTGGAATACTATCAAATTCAGTAACAAATTCCCTTGCGGTAATATCCACCGGACGAACTGTGGAATTCCTGCTTAGGGACGATCAATGGTGAACTCCATGACTCTTGGAAGGACGGAGTATTCCTTGATCCAGGAGGAATTCGAACTCAGATTTCACTGCTTCGTCAGCTTCCGATGGAGTCGTCTCGGTTTAAGGTTATAGGTGTCCGGGTCAAGATATGATGCACTGTGTTATGAGGAACAGTCTGTATTCAAAATTCTCACCAATTTTTACCTCAGAACTTTTATTACGGAAATAAATCTATATCTCTTAGTTATTTATGACTCTACAATAATTAAATATTCTTTTACTCATACTTCAAATGAGGAAAACAAAAGTACTAACTCTCTAAAAGAAGAACAACATAGTATAGGCATTCTCTAAACATAAACTTACAAAACAAGATAATAATAATATGAAATAGATAATGAATAAAAAACCTGTAGAGTAAAGAAAATAATTACTCTCTCGAAGCTCGTGCAATATTACTCAAAGGCTGCAGTTTCAGAAAAAATATAAACAAAAATATTAGAGTCAAACTATTATTCAATCTGCTTAATTAGGGTAGGATTTATTATATCTGGAAACTCAGAAAGCAAGGAGTCATAATCTGAATTAACAGAAACAGTGACAATAGAAGGTTGGCTTTTGTGAGTAACATTGCCATAAGTAAACAATGAAGTTTCAGGATTTATAAAACATTGCCGTTTCAAATCAACAAGAAGATTAAAATGTTTCAAAAAGTGAGCACCGATGATAGGAGAAGTTACATCAGCAATCACAGATGTCCATGAGAAGTGTTTCCAGAGGCCCGATTCCAAATGTCTGTGTACAAATCCATATGCAGGAATTTTAGAGCTGTTAGTAGCAAAAAGGACAAATGTTTCACAACAGTTTCTCTTATCTTTAGGGGAAGGAGGTAACACTGAGATATCACCTACCAGAATCAATCAAAAATTTTTTACGTCTTCCTGTAGAGAAGAAATAACCGACTGGGCTTTGGATACTTCCGTCATCCCAGCTATGACAGGAGTTAGAGGCTTTTTGTTGTTGATAAGCGCAATGATTAGCATATATGCCTTATCACCAAAACGGTTATGAAAGAAACATACATTACTTTCCTGGAACGAGAGGTTGACCGACTCCGGAACCTAGTTGCACGAGAAAGTTCAGTGTGGATGTCTTGAACATAGGAAATGTTAAACATTGCTCTTACTCCAATAAGATTAATATTTATTTACGTTTTTTAGATATAGAATCACACAGACAAAAAAAATCAGTCATCGTTCTTTTCCTTCTCTGTTGCTTCATGTTGCCATTCTGACGAAAATAAAATTGCATGCGAGAAGTTTCACAGATGGCGCTTCATTAACGCGAATGATTTCGCCACACACCCCCTTCCCAGTGATAGCGTTATACGTCGTAATCTTTTAGGTATGCAGGAAATCTCACCCTTCGTCCAGCTTTTGTGTTTTTAGGATGAATATCTTGGGAAGAATCATTGTCTCCAGAAAGTGGAGGTGAGATTTTGGAGTTATCAGCTTCATGTGTCCGGAGATTTTTTGTTGTTTCATTCTTGAGGCTGAAACATGGTTTCAGTCTATCTATCAATATCCTTTCAGTTTTACCTGAAACTTCCACCACATCGAAAAATTTCACAAAACGTTTTTTAACTAAATATGGTCCGAGATAGGGCGGGTGAAGAGAAGATGAAATTATGTTATTATGAATACGTGTGAACCATTTGCTAAGTCCTTGTGCACGAAATTTTTTTTTTTTTAATGCTTGATTGTTGGTGTTGGTTTTAGGTTTTGAATGTGACTTTGCAATTTTTGTATAAAATCTGAATGCGTAACAGTGGGGACATACTTGAAAAATTCTCCAGGCAAACAGATTGGTGAACCGTACACAAGTTCAGCAGAAGAACAATGCAAATCCTCCTTAATGGCGGATCGAATGCCAAGAAGAATCAAAGGTAGGACATCAGTCCAAGAATTTGACTTTTGCAGGTGAGATTTTAGGCTGTTTTTCCAGGTTCGATGTTGCCGTTCTATTAAACCATTAGATTGTGGATGATAAGCCGTGGTGCTGTTAGCCTTGAAGCCTAGGTATTTGCTCAAGGATCTGAAGAGTTGGCTGTCAAATTGTCGACCTTGGTCAGATGTTATCTTCTCTGAAATTCCCAATCTCAAAATCCAAGTCCCGAGAAGCGCATTTGCGACGGACTCTGCAGTTTGGTCTTCCAAAGGTACAGCTTCGATCCACCGAATGAATCTATCGATGATGGTAAGCAGGTACCTAAAACCTTTGCAAGATGGTAAAGGGCCAACGATATTGATATTAAGCTGCTTGAAACGTTGATTAGGAACTTTGAATTCAGCAGCTGGAGCATGGGTATGTTTGTGAATTTTGGCTCGTTGGCATTGCAAACATGCTCTAGACCACATCTGACAGTCTTTGTTTATGCCAGGCCAAATGAATCTTTTTGTCAACAGCTTCGTTGTTGCACGAATCCCAAGATGGGATAAGTTATGTATAGAAAGAATTCTTGTTCGCGAAATTCTTTAGGAATGTATGGCCTGTTGAAATTAGTGGGGGTATCACAGTAAATTTTCTTATTGCTATCCGGAATAGAAATTAGTACTATTTTGAAAGTGGAATTCGATTTGAGAATTCTGAGGTCTTCAGCCTCCTGGCAATCTGCTATAACTGTATAATCAAATTGGAGCTGGGATAGCGATAGCGATCGATAGCGGTTCTCGATAGCGTGTCAGCTACAATGTTTTCTTCTCCAGAAATGTAGCGTATGTCCGTAGTGAATCCAGCAATGTAGTTCAACTGTCGTACTTGTCTTGGAGAGGCTTTATCTTAATTCTGGTGGAAGGCGTAAGGGATAGGTTTATGATCAGTGAAGATAGTAAATGATCATCCTTCCAGAATGTGTTTAAAATGCTTCACCGCTAGGTAGATTGCAAGTAGTTCTCGATCGTATGCGCTGTAATTTCTCTGTGTTAGTGATAGGGATCGGGAGAAAAAACTTAGCGGTTGTTTTTCATTATTATATAGTTGATGAATCATAGCACCCACAGCAGAATCAGATGCATCTGTAGTTAGGGTGATCTGCGCCGTTTGATTGGGGTGAACTAACATTACAGAGTTGCACAGTGCTTTTTTGATATCAGTGAAAGCGTTCTGCGCATCTTCGGTCCAAATTAGAGGTTTTTGCTGTTAAGAAAGAGTAAGTAGAGTAAAGAAATACTCTTTTAAGCAAGACTGTCAGAGGTTGTTGTAGTTTGGCGCAGTTTGGAATGAAACGATGGTAAAAGTTCACCATGCCCAAAAATCTGCGCAAGCTTGTGAAGGATTCTGGTTTAGGATATTCTTTAATTGTATCGACTTTGGATGGAAGTGGCTTGATTCCTTCCTTTGATATTTCATATCCTAAAAATTCAACTTTACTCAAGCCAAATTAGCATTTTACAATGTTTATGCACAGTCCATAGTTATTGAGTCTTTGGAAGATTAATTCAAGATGTTTTTTGTGTGTTTCAGCATCCGGAGAGGCGATGAGAATGTCGTCCAGATAGCAAAATACAAAGTCTAATGCTAAGCCCTGTGTTCATAAACCTTTGGAAGGTTTGTGCAGCATTGCGTAAGCCAAATGTCATGTAAGGAAATTCAAAAAGTCCGAAAGGTGTTATGATTGCTGTCTTCGGAATATCAGCTTCATGAACAGGAATCTGTTGGTATGCTCTTATTAAATCTATGGTTGAAAAAATCGTTTTTCCGTGCAGAATGTGAGTACAGTCAGTTTAGAAAGGGTAGTGGGTAATGGTCTGGTACAGTATTTGCCACGGTAAGGCCACGGTAATCGCCACATGGTCTCCAGTCACCGGATTTTTTTAAAGTGAGGTGTAATGGACTTGACCAGTTGCTTTTCGATGGTCTTCAGAGACCTTCTTGCAACATATAATCAAATTCCTTTTTATCGGCAATCAACTTTTCTTGTGAAAGTCTTCTGACTTTAAAGAATACAGTGTTGCCTTTGGTTTCGATGTAATGTTGCACATCACGTTCTTTAATTTTACTGTTTTTTATGTTGGGTTTAAGTAAGTCAGGAAATTTGTTTAGGATGGCTCTATATGGGTTTTGAAAAGTATTAGCAATGAATTTAGGAGTGACGCTATTGTTACACAAAGTACCTTAAGCCGTTAATGAGGTGATGCCATCGATTAATTTCCTGTTTTTACTATCGACTAACAAATTAAAATGTGAAAGAAAGTCTATTCCCACGATAGGTTTATTAACGTCCGCAATGATAAAAGGCCATTTGAAATATCTGCGTATCCCTAAATCGAGCTCCAATAATTTTTGACCGTATGTTTTGATTGTTGTACCGTTAGCTGCGAACAACTCAAGTTTTAGCCACAGTTCTTTCTTCCGATGGTGATGGTGGGATAACCGATATTTCTGCTCCAGTGTCAATTAAAAAATAGGTTGCTGATGCGTTGTCACGAATATATAGACGACTCAGCTGTACCCCTTAACTTTCTATCGTCATCGAAGGCCGGGGAATCAGTTTTCCTGTTTCGAGATCTGGTATTTACATGGTGGGGTGCACTTGTACGCTCTCTCACCAAAGCGTTGATGAAAATAACAATTATTTGGGTCATTGTTATTTTTGAAACGATTTCTAGAATTCGACCTGTATCGTCGTCTTTGTGGACTGGAATTTCTAAGCGTATTCATTTCTGCTATCTGTAGTGTCAAGTTTGATATCTGCTTCTGTAAATCTTCGGAGGTAATGTTATCAAATGGGGAAAAAACAATGCGAGCTACCTGGGATGGATTGGGATTTAATTCCCATATTTTGTCAGCCATTGTAGACAATTTGGACAAATCATCACTGCTTACAGATAAAATGCTCCGCGTATCAAGTGATAGTCGTTGCATCCACAAAGTTTTTAAAAATTCATCGGGCACTTTCTCAGCCGCCAAGTTACGCATTTCGCAGAGAAGTTGGGATGGTTTCTTATCACCCAGTTCTAATTCGGTCATAAGTTTTCGGGTTTTCTGTGTTTCAGAGTCGGCAAAAATTTCAATAAGCCTTTTTTTAATGGCTGGATATTTGCCGTTGTCTGGTGGTTTGGTGAGAATATCAGAGATTTGTGACAATGTCACTGTTTCAATAGAACTGACTACATAATCGTATTTTGTTTGATCAGCTGTAATTCCAGCGTTTCGGAATTGGGCTTCAGCCTGAAGAAACCATATTTTGGGGTCAGGTTTCCAAAAAGAAGGAATTTTGATGCTGATCTTGGCGAAAGTCGCAGATGTTCCGTTAGTTTCGGCTTGTTTACTTTCATCTCCTTCAGACATAGCAGAACTAGGCTTAACGGAAATACAGCTACCTTTATTTAATTTTATATTTTTATAGCTTTTCCGGCTGAAGTTATATTGCAATATAGAACAAAATTTAAAATTTTAAAGTTGACTTACCATTTTAGAAGTATTTCAGTCCCACGTACGCTCGAAATTTACATTTCACCAGAAGCACTTCGAAATCGAAACTATCACTCAATCCACTGTCAAACTCAGGAAAAAATTGCGGAACTTTAAAAATGGGTAAGTAGCTTCTTAGGACGCTGTCCGTAACATTTATTCGGTAACAGGTGACTATTTATAAAGTGCTTATAATGTCAGTGACATCTCGTAAAATTACAGAAACATCGTACGTTCTTTTTACATCAGATAGACACTTTATAGGTTGAATTCAATCGCGTCCGGGTAAACCAGTGTGGATGTCTTGAACATAGGAAATGTTAGACATTGCTCTTACTCCAATAAGATTAATATTTATTTACATTTTTTAAATTATTTAAATAATTTAATATTTATTACATTAGACAAAAAAAATCAGTCATCATTCTTTTCCTTCTCTGTTGCTTCATGTTGCCATTCTGGCGAAAAGTTTCACAGATGGCGCTTCATTAATGCGAATGATGTCGCTACATTCAGAAATTTGGCGTGTAAGTTCTTCGATCTGCCTGGCTAGGGTTTCACTTAACATGCTATTGGTATCCAAGGTCGTTCCAGTTCCAGAAGTAGCACAGATTGCGCTAGGTTGAACAACATCAGCGATTTTATCAGCTATAATTTCTAGCTGATCAAGTGATTCAGAAGAAGCGGACAAAACTGTTTGAATATGGGCTGGTACCCGTTGCATCTATAAATTCTGCAAAAAGTCATCATTTAGCTGCTTTTCCAAATAGCTCTTTCATTTTCCGTAAGAGATGACTAGGCCGTTCGTTCCCCAGCTGAAGTTTAGTGAGGAGTTTTTAAATTTTCTTGTGTTCAGAATCTTAAAATTCACTGATGATCCTCTCAGACAGTTTTTTATATTTGTCAGAGTCCGGAGGATTTAGCACGATATCTGAGACGTGTGACACAGTTTCAGCATCTATGTTCGCTACAAGAGCAGAAAATTTCGTTTCATCACTTGTAATTCCGCTATAAATGAAGGCATTGTCACACTGTGCGATTCACAACCGTACGCTAGCTTTCAAGAAAGGTGGAATGCGAAGTGCAACTTTCGCAACTTGGCTCTGCTGATCGGGAGGAGGCATCGCAAGTATGTGGAAACTGTTCCGGAGCAGAAAGAAAATAATCGGAATTATCCGGAAAGCGAAGTCGCCATAGTTGGATAGGCTTACCCAACAAACTTAGCGAAGCACGTGACCAATTAACTTATTTTTCATCTATAAGTCACCAATCAGAGTAGGTTGGTTCTGCATATTCAAAAATAAGCTAAACGTATTCAATTAATGACATTTATTTAACTTTCTTGGATTACATAGCGAAAGAACAGAGCATGCGACCAAAACATATCATGCTGCGTTTTTTGCACGCCAGCGATAACAGTAGAGGCACGAGGAAGACTAACTCATATTAAATATCATTACGATCTTTAAATATTTAATGTGATACACATGAAAAAGACAAACAGTTAACATTTAATTTAAAAGTTCATTGCATGGTTGCTGCACTGTAAACAAGATACAGCTGTCTTCAAACCAATATCTGATCCTCATGCAGTAATTTCTTTTAAACAATCGCTGATCAGAAAAATGAGGTGTAAATCCATGTGCACTAAAATGCAAGTTTGCTGTTCGCTTACCTCGTTTGCCATGTAAATTCATTTTGGCGACAGAATGAGTTGTCTAGTGAATTTTCGACAGAAAGGGGTACGGAGAGGCAGAAAGAACAGAATCAATGTAACGGATTTAATCCGCAGAGAATCCACAAAATTTTAATACCCCCAGCATGGCGATAACAGAGCACTGTTGGCAACCTCATGAATTCTGTTTCTGCGTTTAGAAACCACTTTGTTTAGCAGCCGTGTTTTTAATTTATAACAATTCATTCTGTTTTATTTATTACTTCATTATATTCTTGAAAATGTTTTCTAATTAAGAGTTTTAACTGTTATTTTAATTTCCAGTAATAAGTGAAATTACTTAATGTAAGAATGCTGCTAAAGACAGACAAATGTTTGCACTGGCTGAATGCTCATTACATTGCGATTATAAATTAGACAGGTCCAATAAATATTAACTTCATAAAGCTATGAGGCATTCAATAATTTGCTGTTGTTTCTAATCCCCGACGTGGTCCAACATTTATAGACTAATTCCGTGAGTCTAAAACCTCTAAAAAGTCTAAAACGAGAGAAAGTATCGAGGGAAACCTTGTCCAAGATAAAATCAAGACAAAATAAAATAGGATCAGAGCATTACACTTGATGCAGGTCTTTAAAACTTTCTGCCCTTGTTCATAGGTTTGGTTTGGTTTATTAGATTACGGCAAAGCACTCGAGGGCTATCTGCCTTAAGAGAGGGATGCCTTCGTGGAGGACCTTTTAAGGGAAACAGGCTCGTATACATGTTACACATGGGGAAAACCACGAAAACACCCATGCAGCCAGCCTGTTCGCGGGATTGAACCTCGGACCGAACTACCAGTGTTCAGCGACGTTACCGCTCGGCCGCTGGTGGGCCCCCTTGTTCATAGGAAAGAGTCCTAAGTGTCCACTGGCAAAACGTAATATGCAAATCTGCTGGATTCTATGGACCCCAAAAAAGCAAGACGCCACTGAGACAGACTCTAAGTACCAGCCATGTACTGTAGGGACACTTCAGAAATTCTTAAATGATTTCTTACATGCAGAAAGTACCTCATTATAGGTTCAAAGCATATCTGAGTAGGAAGTCTGTAAAGCAGCAGCCTTTGTCAGAGGGTCTGCAGTCTCGATGCCACTAATACCACATGGGAGGAGGGAATCCATTCGATCTTTAACTAGGAATTAACCGAAAGCATAGAAAGTAAGTTCAGGACAGATATTGCAACCCTGTTCCTAACCTCTGACCAATGACTTACATTTTGAACTGATGATCGGCTGACAGTTTGGATCCACTTGTAGACAAAATCAGATTGAACAATTTTTTTCACATAGCTCGGGCCTTTTTTAATAGTTGAGCTCCGATCTGAATACAAAACAAGATTTTGAAATTTTATTTTTATGTCTAAAAGTGGAAAGAGTCCTGATAAGGATACCACTACCAGAATGGCCATGGTCCCTCTTGCTGGCTTCTATATACAAGGTGTCCCGTAAATGTTGTGCCAAACTTCTGGGAGAGGTAGGGCACAGAGCTAGTGGAAAATGAGGATTGCCTCATTCGAGCGATAGGCACCATACGAAGAGCTTGGAACGTTATACAAACGGAGAGCTTGTGAGCATGTGGTTCCAACATGATGGGGCGCCTGCTCATTTTGTACTGGTTGTTCATAGCCATTTGAACAGATCATTTTTGCATTGATGGATTGGGCATGGTTTACCGGTTCCCTGGCCCCCACGCTCTCCGGATTTATCAAGACCTGATTTCTTTTTCTGGGGAGCCATCAAAAGTGTCATGTATCACGATCCTGTTGTATCTGAAATGGATCTAGAGGCAAAACTCGCCTTCGCAGCTGCTACAATCAATGAAATTGCCGGTGTGTTCGAACACGTCCGGCAATCAATGTTTCGTCGGTGTCAGGCATGTTTGGCGTCTGATAGTGCAAATTTCGAGCATCTGTTGTAACATTCAAGCTGTCATATACCATCTGCATTCATATCCAGTAAATGTTTCAAATTAATCACTCTCTTGTTGCCTTTCCCATCTTCTACCTCTGCTACCACTTACCCCTGACACATCCAGGCACGGGTTCCTATGCAATTCTTAATCCTTATAATGTGCCCTACCTCCATCAGAAGTTTGTTACAACATTTACGGGACACCCTGTATATTTGAAGAGCATCTTTAAGTATATGATTGAGAGTCATATACTTAAATCATCTGTCTCATGAATTCAGAGCTGTCAGAATTTTTATGAGCTTGGTCTAAAGTAATGGATGCGATTAGAGTCACAGACAAGCTTAAAGCGTGGCCTCAGAGAGTGACGTTAAATCCGTCAAGGGGAGAGCAATTAATAAAACTTTGCTAAGATGGTTGAGAAAAGAGACTGCTTCACTCCAGTCTTTGGTTATTGATGCAGTTCTCCAGATATGAAGATGTTCTATTCTGGTCATTATAACTGAGAAACTTATAATATTGAACAATACAAGATTTCCTTCCCATACTCAATAGTGGAAGTCCCACTCAAATAGAACAATATCTTTAGTGCACATATGGCTCAAGTCAGAAATGATTTTCATCGCACTAACTTGAACTCTTTCCAGCCTACAGAGATTAGGGCACAGAAATGAACAGGGGAACCATATTCCAAGATAGGTCTAATAACGGAAGTATAAGTTAGTTTCAGAGTTGAGGCACCTACTCTCCAATCTTGCTCAGAAAAATATTTTAGTAGAGTTAACTTTTTTCTGCATCTTATCTGATAGTCTGGATATGCAAATTACTAAGAATCTCTTGATCCGTTCTGTATCCCAAGTACTTAGTATTCTTTTCGTAAGGTAAGGTTTGGCCATTCATGGCAATAGCAAATAGTAGGTTAATAATTATAAATGTGTCTATTAGTAGCATAAAAACTAAGCTCACATTTGGAAGTACGGAAAGTTAACTTGTACGCATCAGCATAAGCACTTACATATTTAAGAGTGAGGTTAATGTTAGCTTCAGTGTTCTTCATAACGGCCGATGCGATTAGCCGCTTGAGCTATTCGCACCAACATTAACCACGCATGCGCATTGAGTTGTCGGATCCGTCATTTGAACCCAATCGTAAAGAATGGCCTAAGTGTTGTAGTGAATCTTTTTTTTAAAGGCGGGTTACTACCTTGGCGTAGTTTATCATCCTTTAAGCGTTGGCGACTTTCAAAA